GCAGAACTAGAGTGAAGAACGTTACTGATGCGGAACTAGAACGAAGACTGTTACAGATGCGGAACTAGAGCGAAGAACGTTACTGATGCTGAACTAGAACGAAGATTGTTACAGATGCGGAACTAGAGCAAAAAATACTGATGCGGAACTAGAGTGAAGAACCTTACTGGGGACCCCACCAGTGTTGCCAGGTGTACGATAATTATCGTAGTTGTACAACAATTTTTCCCTCTGTACGATCAATAATCCCAAAAAAGGCCAAATATAAGATAATTTTCCATTCTGTGAACGTGTGGTTGTAATCGGTTGTCATCAGCCTCTCGCAACTAACTGTCGGACTTTTTGTGCGAACCCTGAAGGCAAACAGATGCACGATTGGCTGAAAATTCCAGCCAATCGTGTTTTTCTAAATGTGACCTACGAGTGATGTGTATGCGAGTGCCTGAGAACAACGGCCATGATTGGCTGAATAGTCCGCTGCACCCGCCCCATGAGTGAAGAAAAGAAGAAGAAGCAGAGCCGGTCTGGAAGCGGACCCATCACTACTATAGTGTATCAATAGATTTTTTTATTTTGGTTATGACGGGTGTACGATAATTTCCCTGAAAATATGATAATTTTATGTCTCTAGTACGATAATCCTACATTTCTCACCTGGCAACACTGGACCCCACCCATCCAGCTCACACAGTTCATCCGGTTCCTCTCAGGCAGGAGGTCACTGAGGAACCACTTCTTCGAGGAGGCTGATTTTGTTTATTATTATGATTATTAGATCCTTCTACTTGTTCTTTCTTTATTTTTTGGTCTGGCCTCAGGAAGACATTTCTTTCAGGGTGAAAGACACTGGTTGTTTAACCAACTAGCAGGAACATCAGAACGTTTCTGCTGCGATAAACACGTAGCGCACAATCGGCAGAGGTTTTAAGGCATTTTAAATTATTCTCGACTTAACTCGAACTAACCGTCGACCTGTCAATACGTTCAGAACTAAACTTTATTTCCTCAGAGTTTGTCCAAAAAGTTACAAATAAAATATTAATCGTTATAACTTTTCCACAGAACTCCACGCTTTAAGCTCTGAACTTTCTGTTTAAGCGAAGCTCTCGATGTTTTGGCAGCTAAAGTGTGATTTTGGCTAGTGCGACTCCACCGGGTGTAAAACGCGTTCAGAAACAATTTTCTGAATTGACTCGGTGACTAGCACACGTCTGACTCATGGAGTCACATCAGCAGACACGCTGGCGATCTGTTGTCTCTCGTAGAGAGGATAGTATCAAAGAAGCTGCACCACCGACACGCTAACGGAACGTTAGCGGCGTCTTTAACGGGATCGGGCGGTCCTCGCGTAGTGACCGAACCGGAAATAAATAAGAAGCTGGGACTTCAACCAGCAGTTCTTGGTGTGGAGACATGTGGACCGGGAACATCCTGCGCTTGATACTTCCTTGGTCATCTTCAAAAACAGAATGTAAACAAAACGTCTTTTTAAGAGTCGTGAGTTTTCGTCTCAGACCAAATTCATTTCGTCAACCCTCGATTTCGTTTCGTCGGTGACGTCCGGTGAGGATCCAGCAGCTTGAAACTTCCTGTCTGAGTCGTCGTCATGTCGCCTTCTCCTAGATGAGCTCCACGATTTGCTCCGTGGGTTTCTCGGTGAGAGGCGGCACGTGGGCGTAGGCCCGCATCAACCCGTTGCTGGAGATTTGATGGAGCGCCAGGGAGGACTTGATTTTGGCGGGACTGCAGAGGTGCTGGAAGCGCTGCGGAGAGAGAAAAGGAGTTTAAACGATCGCATTTTGTGTGTGTGTGTGGTGGACTGTTCTAAAGACACGGGCGTCACCTGCGGCACGGTTCCTGGAGTGGTGACGAGGGCGTAGACGGCCCAGATGGGAAGCAGGGACACGGAGGAGAGGGTGAGGAGCCAGCCCAGCGTGGTGGCCCAGACGGGAGCTACGAGCCCCTTCCCCAGACTCAACGGAGACCAGCGCACCAGGGAAAATATAAACGTGGCCTTAAGACAGAAGTAAACTCTTTAATGAGAACAGACGCCATCAGGAGCCTTTGTCCCGTGAGAACTAGATTTAAAAGGATAAATTCATCTCGATTACGTTCGAGTCGTTGGAAATGAACGCGAGGATAAAACTGCAACCTAAACTACCGTTCACCTGATTTATTTTCTACAGAGTACTCACAGTGCACACAGCCGGAGTGAAATACCTCCAGCACAGCCTGAAGACGGGCAGCGGGTCGTAGCCGGTCATGTCTCTGATGTCGGCGCTGAAGCGGTCGGCTCCTGCGGATGAAACCGTATCGTTGGTTCGGTGCTTCGCTCCTAAAGACGAACCACCTGACCCGCAAGTGGATTCTTTAAAAACTGCTGTAAAGAGTTGAAGTCATGACCGTGGTGCCCCCCCCCCAGCCCCCGTCTCGACTCTCGGCTGCTGGGGGAGCCATAAAAACAGGCTCGCTTGTTTCTTACTCATTCTCAGCCAGTTTGTCCTGAAAATTAACTGTTGAAACATTGCTCTGACTTTATTTTGCCGTTAAACAAACTGTGTTTTGTGCAACTTTAAAGCCTCGTTTCAGGCTGGGACGGGGGGCCCCGAGGACTGGTTTTAGAGACAGACAAGAAGGGGGTGGGGGGATCTGGCCCAGAGCCAGTCTCCTTACAGCGGCAGCCATCCTAATATACAGTCTGCTGGGTCTGAGAGGAATGCATTAGGTGGACGGCTTCTATTAAATCCTGGACATTACATTTATTATTGGCAAGAAGGAAATTTAATTAAAGTCAGTCATAAAATCAGGAAGAATTTAAATCAAGAGGAATTACAGGAGAGAGGAGTAGGAAAGAATATAAGCAGGAAAAACAACAAAATGGAGACAAAAAAATGAGAGGAAAATAGGTGCAAATACGAGAAGGAAGTTAAAAAAGAACCAGCATTAAGGGAATTATCGGAAATGTATTTGGAAAAGGATTCATGGAAAATAATAATATAAGGAGAAAGCATGGAAAAAGGTGAGACTGGAAATGACAGGAAAGGAGCTTACAAGCAAGTAAAGAGGCAAAAAATGGAAAATGAGGGCAAAATAAAATATTAATTACCGGAAGATGGAGACGGCGATTAAAAAGAAAAAAAGTCGAACAGAAGCGAAGAGAAAAAGAACGGAAACAGTCAAAACAAAAACGCTGTAAACATAAATAAACGAAGAGAGGAAGCGGTTCGTACCGTAGACCCAGCCGATGGCCAACGACTGGAAGATGGAGAGGAGCAGCAGGCTGGCTCCGCTGCAGGAGAAGTGGTCATAGATCTGGAAGACGTACAGACCACCCTGCAGCCAGGTGGAAACATTCATCCACAAGAGAGAGAGAAAAGCTCCTTAGTTTCACACCGTTACAAACAAACGGACAGGCAGCCCGTTTCTCCCACAACGACTCAACGGCTGCAAATTGGAATGAAAACACCAGATTTTAGCAAGGTAGAGTCTCCAAAGCTACTTAAATAACACCAAATCAGCTTGTTTGCAGATAAAAACATAGCTCATCTGCTAATAAACTGTCAACATGTGTTCCGCAGGGATCTATATTCGTTGTAGATCGATTCTCTTCCATTTGTTTGCTCCAAGTGTAAAGTTTACCATACCACTTTATTTATAAATCACTTAAAACAGCAACAAGGCCAACCAAAGTGCTGTACAGACAGAACAACAGGTAACACACAAAGCAAAATACAAAATGAGGTAAATCAGAATATAGACAAAAAAACGATGCAGATAATGACGACTAACCAGTGTGGAGCGTACAGGTTCAAAACACAGATCCTCTGGTGTTGAAAGCTACTGAATAGCAGTGAGTTTTTAAACGGGACTTGAAAACCGAGAGGGATGGGGGCCTGTCTGACAAGCAGAGGTAACTCGTTCCAAAGTCTTGGTCCTGCTACAGAGAAGGCCCCGTCACCTCTGCGCTTAAGACGAGTTCCTGGAACTGTGAGGAGCAACTGGTCCGCTGACCTCAGGGAACGTGGTGGGACATACGGTTGTAGCAGATCAGAGATGGGGGGGGGGACTGTTCAGTGATTTGTAGACATACAGGAGTATTTTGAACTGGATTCGAAGGTGAACCGGTAACCAGTGCAGGGAGGCCAAAACTGGTGTGATGTGCTCTCTTTTGCCTGTACTGGTTAAAAATCAGGCTGCTGCATTCTGGACCAGTTGTAGTTGTGCAATGGAGGTCTGACTGATACCAAACAGGAGTGAATTGCAGTAATCAAGCCTAGATGTAATGAATGCATGTATTACTGTCTCCAGGTTATTTTTGGACAATATGGGCTTCAGTTTAGACAGCCGCCTCAGTTGGAAGAAACATGATTTAACAATCATGTTAACATGATTGTTAAGTTTCAGGGAAGGGTCCATTATCACTCCCAGATTAGTGACTCTTTTTTTCTGACAGGGTTAGAGCGGAGAGGTCGATGCAGTGGTTTGTGACCGTGTCGTTGGGAGGGAACAACATGACTTCAGACTTCTTTTCATTGAAACTTAAGAAGTTTAAAGCCATCCAGTCCCTGATGTCAGCCAGGCAGTCGAGCAGCGGTTGAATAGAGCATGTACCATTGTGTCTTAGGGGGAAGTAAATTTGACAGTCATCGGCATAGAAGTGGAAGTGCATGTTGTGTTTCCGGAAAATAGCACCAAGCGGCAGCAGGTATAAAGAGAATAGGAGGGGACCCAGGATGGACCCCTGCGGAACCCCCCCCATTTAAGCTCTGCCTCTGCGGAACTAAAATCCTTGATGGAGACTCAAAAGGATCTGTCAGCCTGGTAAGATCTGAACCAATTGAGGGCTGACCCTGTGACGCCCACCCACTGCTCCAACCTAGCAATGAGGATCTCATGGTCAATGGTGTCAAAGGCGGCTGTGAGGTCCAACAGGACAAGCAGCACAGAATCACCAGTATCTGTGGATCTGAAGATGTCGTTAAAGACCTTCAGCAGGGCAGTTTCACTGCTGTGGAGAGGTTTAAAGCCAGATTGGAATAGCTCTAAGATGGTGTGACCTTCCATTGATCGTATGCAGACGACACCATGATTTGTATACATGTTAAAAGTGTGACACAAGGAAAGACTGTCATTGTTCTCCATCTTCTACCACTTATCCAAAGTTGGGTCACGGAGGCAACAGGTCCAGAAGAGAAACCCAGAGATCCCTTTTCCCTAGCAACACTTTCCAGCTCGCCCTAGGAGATCTGAAGGCGTTCCCAGGTCAAAGAAAATACACAATCACCTTAGAGAGTTCTGGGTTGGCCCCAGGTACTCTTACCAGTGGGACTTGCTTGGAAAACCTCCACAGGGATGCATCCTAACTGAAACCACCTCAACTGACTCCTTTTGATACGAAGGAGCAGCAGCTCTACGTTGAGCTCCCAGGGATGATGGGGCTCCTCACCTTATCTCCAAAACTGAGCCTGGCCACCCTACAAAGGAAGCTAATTTTAGCTGGTTATATTCTGGATCTCATTCTTTCTGTCATCATCCAAACCTCATAACCATAGACGAAAGTTGGAACGTATAAAGATCAGTAAATCCAGAGCTTTGACTTAATTCTTTCTTCACAACAATCAACTGAGGCAATGCCTTCATTACTGAAGACAAGGCCCCATCTGTCAATCCATCTACCATCACTTGTGAACAAGATGCCCAGATAATTAAACTCCTCTCCCTGAAGCAAAGACCCCCCCAAACTGTCATTGTTCCAATCCTAAACAACAAGACTGCTCAGCCACTGAATGACTTCAGGATTGTCTACTGCAAGTGAAACATTCAATTGTACGCAGACGACACCATGATTTATATACAAGTAAAACGTGTGACTCGTTTCCGAAGCTACATAGTAAACCTACATGTTTTTGGTGCAATGCATTCAAGTGGGGAGGGGGTACACTGTATAAGATTAGACGTAGGTTTGTCTTTTTGTCGCTTGTCTGAGGTGGTGCAGTGACGGATCCTGGCGAGCAAAGGGAGCAATTTTGTCCTTCCTTACACCTTGATACAGCCACACAGCAAAATGAAAGTCGGTACCTCACTTATTATTCAAGGTATCGTGCCCAAGTCTTGAAAAGACTCAACAACTTCCTGGCGGTTCATGTGGACGGTGTCTCGTGGACCTGGTCACGTAATGAGTCTAACCAGGTCCGACTGTTGAGTCTTACAGTTCCAGTGCAGAGTTCATATCTGAATCCAGGTATGTTGAAGCTGTGAATGATTCTAAACATTTAATTTACGGTACTTCCACTTTCAAACCAGATAAATCTTTGCATCACCTGAAGCTGAGCATTAGAAATCTGTTTTTTATTATTTCTGAAGGAAATTCCAAATTTTAAAATGAATATAGTTACTATACTTCTTCCGTACGATTTTTCAGCATCTTTCTTGTTCCGCAGTTTTTGTGCTATTTCAATAAATCTTATATCAAAACATTCAGCTCTTTCAGGACAATCCTGCTATTTGGTATTGGTGCAACTCTAGCTTTTTGAAATATTTAGCCTTTTCTGTCCTTTTTTTTTCCTCATAGAAAATAAATTGAGCTCATTTTACATCCGTCAAATCTTTAGATCTGTTTACAACCTTTTACTGCTCCTTAAACATTTTGTTTTCAGCTTCCTTGTGCAAATTTTAACTTTTTTTCAGCTACTTTCAGCTGTTTTGTGCTTCTTTCACATGATTTCTGCTAACTACAACATTTTGTGCTTCTGACTTCTTTCTGCTCCTTTCAGCTTATTCCTGCAAGTTTCAGCTTTTTCTACCATTTCAGCTACTATTTAGCTGTTCATGCTAACTTTAGCTTTTTCAGCTAATTCTACATTTTTTGCACTCATTTAAAACTTTTGTCAGCCTAATTCAGCAAAAATGTGCTCACTCCACATCCTTCTGGTAATTTAAGTTTTTCTGCTTATTAGCTACTTTTCAACTTTTTTTTTGTTGTCGTTGTTTCAGCTGTTTTAAGATAATTTCCACTTTTTTGTGCACATTTCTGCTTCTTTCAGCCTACGGTAATTGGGCAAACGTGTTCTTTCTGCTTTCTTCTGCTAATTTAAGCTTGTTCTAGCTTTTCAGCTAGATTTTTATTAGCCTTTTTTAAGCTGCTTCCAGATAAATTCATGTTTTTGTAGTAATTTCTGTTACTTACAGGCTAATTAACTTGTTTCTGCTAATTTCAGCTGGTTATGCTCCTTTCAGCTTTTTCTGCTATTTCAGCTACTATTTAGCTGTTTTATGCAATTTTTAGCTGTTTCAGCTAATTCCACATTTTTGAGCTCATTTAAGTTCCTTCCAGTTATTTCTGGTGGTTTAAGCTTCTTTCTGCCTTTTCAGCTATTTCTTTGTGCTAATTTTAGCTTTTTCAGCTGATTTCTTAATTTTTGTGCTCATTTCTACTTATTTAAACCTAATCCAGCAAATACGTGTTCGTTCTGCTGTCTTCTGATAATTTAGGCTTCCATTTCAGCTTGTTTTTAGATGATTTCAGCAGTTTTTCAGCAAGATTTTCAGCAATAATTATTCACACTGCATTTCTGCAGGAAATGCGATTTCTCTAGTTTCCTTCAGGTTAAAGGCGACTCACCGGTGTGACCATGACGAGTCCAATCAGGAAGCAGACGACGCACACGAACAGCAGCAGCAGCTCTCTGCGGCGGCCTCGTCGGATCAGGTGGGGGTACAGGTCAGTCACCGATGTCATCAGCGCCTCCAGGCTCACAAACTGGGTCAAAGAGGAGGCGTGTGTGTGATCACAGTGCGTGTGTTCACAGCTTAGCTACACACATCAGAACCCAGTGAGCACCTACCTGCGTGTCCAGACCCAGCATGATGATCATGAGGAAGAAGCAGACCGCCCAGAGCTGAGGAAAAGGCATCATGGCTACGGCTCTCGGGTAGGCGATGAAGGCGAGGCCGGGCCCTGAGAAGAGGAACAAACTGGATTTTTATCTGAATTCTTTCATAGTTTTGGTGAACTCGTCAATATTTCAACTCTTAATTAATGTTTTTAATGAGTAAACTGTTGCTGCTGTCTATAAGGACGTTTTAAGATTTTTTTTTTTCAGGTTCTTAAAGGTGCAGTTTTTTTTTTTTTATATAAACCTTTCCATTTGAAAAGACAAAAATGTCCAGCTTTATGAGGTGCTTCCATCTGAAACTTTACAAGATATACTTTAAATCAGGATATTTATTACCGTAATTTCTGGTGTATAAGCTGCTACTTCTTTCCCCCCACACGCTGTGAACCCCGCTGCAATAATGGATTTTTTTTTGACGGGCTAACGAGCTTTATGCCACTAAAAACAGTGATCTTCGTCACGCTTGGGCGCTCACATAGCTGCCCAGTACACGTCTCTCTTGGAAGGGGGAGGCTCAATGAGCCTACTTGTATAAATAAAGTTAAAAAAAATATGATTAATGAAATTACCTAACAGGTCACAATGGACCAATGAAACGAGGAGGGGAGGAGAGAATGGGGAGGGGGGGAATCCCCACTCCCCCATGACGGGGGGATTCCCTTGTCTGCGCAGAGCATGTGAGTCTCACATGCTCACAGAGCACTTTTGCTCCACGGAGCAGGACAGCTTGACCTCCTGCTAAGCTACTGTATTATTTTTCCCCCCAACTATCCGTGTTTAACATTTACCGTACTGTACGTATTTCTGTATGTTACTGGTACACATTTAATTAAAAGTTAAAAAAATCTTTCTGTGACATCTTTCTATGTACAGATTTCGTGTTACAACGTGAACACCCGCGGCTTATATATGTACAAAATTGGTATTTTATTTAATTTAGTGTGCGCGGCTTATATTGCAGTGCGTGCTTTAGACCGGAAATTACGGTAAATTTGGCAGAGACTTCTTCAGCATGTTTGATTTTAAAACGGCAACAAAATTTAAAAAAATGCTCAAGAGAGCCGATGTGTTAGCACATCAGCTGAAAGGTGATACATCTGGTGACTTTAAATAAAATAATAAAAATTAAAAAAAAAAACATGGCGTTGTTTTCAGCTTGTTCACCTGAACATGGATAGACTGTGGATATGTGGGGGACTACTTTTTGTGGTGGACTGATATACGTTTAAAGCTTCAAGCAGAGAATTACACGTGATGTGGTGCTAAACTAAAATGACATTTTGAACAAAAGCTCATCGACTGTTGTGATTTAGTTTAGATAAAAGCGGATTTTTCCACGTTTGGTGAGATTTCCGTTTCCGTTCGGACGCCCGGCTTCACCTGATTGGGCCACAGTGGATATATCCACGCCCTGCTCTTCGGCCATGAAGCCCAGCACCGAGAAGATGGCGAAGCCCGCCAGGAAGCTGGTGCTGCTGTTCAGGAGGCACAGCAGGAACGAGTCTCTGTAACACACATGAACAAAAACAGCTGCGTTAAAAAAAACGATTTTCGTAAATCCCAGGGAGTGCTTGTTTCTCTTTGCGAGTTTGTTTGGGGGGGGGGGGGGGGGGTACTGTGGGAAACATGGCAGCCGGGGCTTTTCTTTGAGGTGTGGCTATATCAGTGTGTTTTCTCTTTCCATTCCTGCCATTCCTTCTGGAAGCCGGTGGGAGCGAACGTCTTACGTTTCAGTGGAAAAAGTCGGCGTGAGGTGTGTGTTTGGCGTGTCGTGGAGCTGCTCCGTCAGTGTGTGTGCGCGCGACAGAGTCTCACTTATAGCAGTCATTGTTGTATTTGTTGTAACTGCCCAGGGCTGTGAGGCTCCCCAAGCAGATCCCATAAGAGAAAAATATCTGGGTGCCTGCATCCATCCATACCTGCAGAGAAACAGAGAAACGAGAGGAGACGAAAGGAGAGGTGAGCTTCGTCTGGAGTTGAGGTCATCCAAGATGCTTGAAACCCTGAAGCAAAACCCACGAGGTGTTCTCCCACTCACCTGAGATCGACTACGAGAGCTGCTATACCGCCTGAAAGAGCACCTAAAAGAACTTGTACCCCCCAGGACACTTTTTTTAAAAATAAAATGTAATAAATCTGCCTCGTAAGAGGAGTGGTTTTGTACCTGTGGGTCAGCCAGGCGGGTGTGGTTTGGTTTGAGGTAGTAGATGATGCCCTGCGTAGCTCCAGGCAGCGTGGCCCCTCGCACCAGTAGCACGAACAGCATGACGTACGGGAAGGTGGCGGTCAGGTAAACCACCTGAAACGTACGCAAAGCACGCAGGAATATTGTCAGAGAGAAAGAACGCAAGATGGATATGACAAATCAGCATTTCCCCTACTGGCCTTGGCAGGGCGCTCATCTCTTCGAGGATTTTTGTAGATGGGGAGAGGTTAGAGAGACGTGCGCTACTTTTATGCCAGCAGTTGTCAGTTGTGTATGTGTGTGTGTGTGTGTGTGTGGGGGGGGGGGGGGGGGGGTAGGAGTATGCGTGAGAGAAGCAAAACACTACATTAGTAGCTTTTAGCTAGTGCATATGTAATGCGTGCAGCTAGCTTAGCACTACGTCAGTGCCGGCAGTTGTCAATGAGGTGGGGGGTAGAAGTAGGAGTATGCATGAGAAGCGGAGCGCTACATCTGTAGCTTTTTAGCTAAGCGCATCTGTATTGCACGCCGCTAGCTTAGCGCTACATCAGTGCCAGCAGATGTCGATGAGGTGGGCGGTAAGACTAGGAGTATGTGTGAGAGAAGTGGAGCACCACATCAGTAGCTTTTTAGCTAAGCATGTCTGTATTGCATGCCGCTAGCTTAGCGCAACGTCAGTGCCATCAGATGTCGACAGGGTGGGGGGTATGTGTGAAAGAAGCGGAGCGCTACATCTGTAGCTTTTTAGCTAAGCGCGTCTGTATTGTGCACGGCTAGCTTAGCACAAAATCAGTGCCAGCAGATGTAGACAAGGTGGGGGGTGGGAGTAGAAGTATGCATGCTTTTTAGCTAAGCACATCTGTATTGCACGCCATTAGCTTAGCACGACGTCAGTGCCAGCAGTTGTCGATGAGGTGGGGGGTAGGACTAGGAGTATGCGTGAGTGAAGTGGAGCACTACATCAGTAGCCTTTTAGCTAAGCGCGTCTGTATTGCGTGCCGCTAGCTTAGCACTACGTCAGTACCAGCAGTTGACGGGGTGGAGGGTAGTAGTAGGAGTATGCGTGCTTTTTAGCTAAGCGTATCTTTATTGCGCACCGCTAGCTTAGCACTACATCAGTGCCAGCAGTTGTCGATGAGGTGGG